TGTCAGGCTGATGTTTCATTGTAATACTACATTACGGATTGCAAGCAATTTCACAGGCAACTAATTCATGAGTTTGAAACAGTCTGCTTTAAGAGACCTAACTATCTTGGTTTTTAATAAAATGCTTAAAGTTTTACTAAACCTCTGGAATAATCTTTATTTCTCTTGTGAAGGGTGATTTAAAGTCTGAAAGAGGAAAGCATGCATCTGATTACCTACAATTTAAATTTTGGCTGTGAATTTAGCCCATTAACCTTGATCTGTGATGTCTGCCCCTATGAGAGGGATACTGAGACATCCCTGTCCATGGTGCATTTTAAAGATGACAAAAGGTTCTTCGAGTTATTAGATTTTCTGGGGGAGAAGAATCTGTAGCCAAACGCGGGTTTCTGCGTCCCTTACAGACCGCTCGAATTTGCATGGGCAATTACACAGGGGGATCGCATCAATGCAGGGCTGCCGGCCACACTGACGCCATACAATTACACAACGGCTTCGGTGCTTAAACTTTAAAATTCTTACACCATTGTGCCTGTTCTATTAGAACAAACTGCAGCAAATGATCCAAAGCCAATTCAAAGGACTGGAGAGGAGGTACCCAGGGGGAGAGAGGGAAGAGGTGCAGTGTGGCCCCTACTGGCCAGCTTAAGCAATCGCCAGCCCCCGCGGGCGGGCTGCTGCAACCACAGGCTTCCTTTTGTGCTTTGCAGTCCGTGGTTTTCCAGTGGGGCCAAAAATAAGAGTCACCTAATTCACAGAAGGGCTGTGAGGATTAATGAGGGAAGTTAGGCAAAGCAGGACCTGGTCCTGGTACAGAAAGTACTGTATAAACACAAGGCTTAGAGTAGCTCTTTGTTTGGATGGCGGATCGCTTTCTTCAAATACCAGTATCCACAGTTGTGCCTTCCCTACTAACTCCATTTATAAACTATAATGCTATTGTGTTCTCCCTGACAAGTTTAGGTAACAGTGCTAACACTGTAAGCACCTAAATATAAGCTACTTGATAAAAAAAATAAGGTATATCCAAGAAAGAAATCTAATGAAAATAATAGAGCTGAAACCACCAGCAAAAAGAGAGTTCATAATGAGGTTAAATGTCTGAGCATACATGTCCCCAAGTATTGATGTGGTATACAACCTTTCCAAAAGTATTAAAAGATGGAAGGGATGCTTCTAAAAGTCAATTACATTACCAATTTGGTACTAATTTATTATTTTTCCCTGTTTACTGTTGAGAGGAAGCAAGGTAACTGAGCCCCTGAAACTGGCCATCCTGAAGAAAATAGCCTGAAATGAGAAGGGAAAAAAAATAACAACTGAAAAGTGGTTTTTTCAGAAGGTCTTCCTTTATCAAGAAAGATGTCTGACCACAGCTGTGGTAGTTGGGATGTTCAGAAATGACCGGTTTACCAACAGGACATGATCACACGTAAAGGATAAATAAGAAATCATACCTTCCAACTGTTTTACAAGAGAATGCCAGACAGATTATATGTACAAATAGAATAGGATTTGATCATCTCATGCTTTGGCAGGCAGAAACATAAGCATATGAAGAACCAAACATCATGCTTTTAGCTCCTACACATTTTGCCTGAATGGAATTCTTCTACATGGTGAACATGCCTTCCTTTTTGCAGCAAAATCCACCGAGTCCAACTCCATTTTCTCAAAGCCTAGTTTCTTTCAATAA